GGTATATGATTTCTGATTTTAATTATTGTTATGAGCCACCTCTACTGACGGCTGGGCACATTGCAAATGTGTTACACAATTAAAATAAAATAAAAGGTTGAAAGTTGTGTGTCGACTCTTTTTTCTCATTAGGATCTTGGGGAGAACACATAATCACTCCACTGTGATTTTCTTGGTCAACCACGTTTGATATTATTTATGTATTAAATGTATGCCCCACCCTTCCTCCCAAAGGAGCTCAGTGTGGCAAACATTTCGGTAATAACAAATACAATTAAAAATGAGATAAAGCAAATTTAAGAGCAAATTCTGTGTCTGGATAGGCTTGCTGAAACAGAAAAGTTTTCAGCAGGTGTCTAAAGGAGCACAGTGATTGGGCCTACTAAATCTCTTTCTCTTTCTCTCTTTCGATGGCAATTGTGTGAGTCACCAATGCCCTAATACTAAAGCAGAGCACTTGAAAAGTCAATTGTCATGCCCTACCAGGACATGGGTGACCGACTTGATGTTCTCCAGATCCTGTTGGCCAACAGCTCTTATCCCCGCTGACCATTGGTCATGCTGGCTGCAGCTGATGGGAGTTGGAGACCAACAACACCTGGGATGGCTATCCCTGGACTATGCTAACATTTAGGTGTCAGAGATAATTGTTTGTATAAACTTGTAGAATTGGGAGGTGTGGCAGGCAGCGGTGGCAGGCCCAGTAAATTCCCTGCCCTTTCAGCTTGAGTGTTTTCTGGAGCATACTCATGGACCTATAGTACCTCCCCACAGTGCAGGAGCAATGGAAACCGAATGTAGAGGACTCATTCCAAGCTATGCAATCCACATCTCATCACACTCTGCCCTTAGTGATAACTGTGCAGCCCGTTGACGTCAATGGACAAGCCAGTTATCGCTTTCTAGCAATTAATAATCTGGTTGTTGTATAAATGGCTATTAGCCAGCTTTGCACTTTGGCCACAATTATTAAGAATCCTTCGGAGGCTAACCTAGAAAGAACATGCCATCTTACAGAGTCACTCCTTTTGAACAGACTTGGAGCCAAATCACACATTCTTTTGGGTGTATTTTTTTAAAAAATGTGCCCCTCAAAATGCCAAGTGGGAATCTGGCAAACAGGTGTTCAAATGCATATCTCATACCGGTACGCTTGGCAGGATTGGCTATAGCTCCTTCTTGAATATGCAAAGTTATTGTTCCCTGAGATCGTACAGGGAGCATAATTAAAAGAAAGTGCTGGTGCTTACCTTCAAAGTCCTTCAGGGATGGAATCCAGATACCTGCAGGAACACCTACTCTCATATCAACCTGCTTATAAAGTGAGGCAGTCTTTTGAGGATATCATCCAGATGCCCTACCTGAGGTAAGGTAGGTGGGACTAGAAAGGAGATCTCCTTAGTAATGACACCGCTTGTCAAATTCCGTCAACAAGGAAGTTTACCTGGTGTTCACAGTATTATCCTTTCAGTGTTGAGTAAAGATGCTTCCCCTCCCTGCACTATTATAGCTTATTACTTTGGATTTGGATCACATCCACACCATGCATTTAAAACTCTCATTCCACCATGGCTCCTTCCAAATATCCTGGGAACTCTGGTTTGTTACGTGTGCTGACTTCAAAGACCTACAATTTTCAGCACCCCGAACAAACTATAGTTTCCAGGATTCTCCATGACTGTTAAAGTGCTGTAGGAGTGCCTTAAATGTAGGGTGTGCATGTGACCTCTCTATTCTTATTCTACCTAATTTCGCAGTTATCCTTTGAAATTCGCACTTCTCTGAATTTTGCAATGCAATTCTCCGACCGAGAATATGCACACCAAAAAGTGTGCATTAGGTAAAAGTGCACACAAAAGTGTGTGTGTAAGAAAATAATGTAAAAAGGGCATTCTGTGAGGAGAAACTGCTGGGAAAAAAATATGTATGTTAGGCAAAACTGCATGCAAAAATGTCTATATTAGGAGAAGCATACATGAAAGGCTATAGCTCAGTGATGAAGTATCTGTTTTGGATGTAGAAGTTTCCCTGGTCCAATTCCCAGCGTCTCCACGTAGGACTGAAATCTGTCTGAAATCCTTGTGAGCCAGCACTATTGAGTGTAGATTATGCTGAGCTAGCTGGACCAATGGTCTGGATTCATTATATAGCAGCTTCTTAAGTTCCTATGAAAATGTATATGAATTTTTGTCAGGACCTTTACAAAATTCACAAACTGATGTGGATATGGTCAATCTGAACAAAAGACAGGAAAAACACGGAGAAACCAAAATAGACCGATATGTCCATAAATCCTAAATACAATCCTGGGAGGCAGGATAGTTATATTAGACAGAGACTTGTCCAAGGCGACACAATCTTTATGTCACAACCAAATTCCAGCCACTGTCTTGTGCTACCTTTATTTTCGTCAGTGGCTTTCTCCACAAGGATTCTGAAACTCAACTGGTTCACTGAGGCTGGAGAAGTCCCTGTGCTGGGTTTGTAGCTCTTGACATCGGCTTCCCCATAAGCAATCAGGTGCAGGCAGTTATGGCTTGACATCATTAAGAGGGTTGAGATCTAGAAAATTCAGTAGTTACGAACCCACTGAATGGCTAAGCATGAGAACAAAAAGACAGCTATGGTCTGCCACAAACTGGCCTGCAGAACATAAGAAAACAGGAAGAGTCCTGTTGGATCAAACCAAAGGACTATTTAGTCTAGCAGTCTGTTCTCACAGCAGCCCACAAGCAGGACCTGAGTGCAATATGATCCTAAGCAACTGGGATGCACAGAGGTAAGATATAGCCATCATGGCTAGTAGTCGTGTTGCCCCAGTTTAATCCTTGCACACATAATTAATAGTGTGACTGGAGGTTTAAGCAACAGTAAAGAGGATAAATGATGCTAAAACTATGCTACTCACAGAATGAGTCTCTCCTTTTTTTACCTTAATGTTAGTCTCTCCATTTCAGTTAGATCTGCTTGATATTTGAATTCAACTGTTATCTGAATAAATGGGAACTACAAATGCTATTATTTCCTCGACAGAACTTGGCAAGCCAATTTGGGATATTAAACATAACCGCAATCATATTCTTGTCTGCTACAATTTGATAAGGCAGTGTCATTTACAGCATCCACTTACAACTTGGCAGTAAAACACTATTGCCACTATCCAATCCAGCAGCACTGGCGGGCGTCAATTCGGTTGGGGAACAGAAAGAAAGAATCCCACCTTCTGACGGTAAGAGCTGTTTCACAGTGGAACAGACTCTCTCAGAACGTGGTGGGCTCTTCTTCAATGGAGGTTTTTAAGCAGAGGTGGTCATTGGCCATGGATACTTTGGTTGAGATTCCTGCATTGCAGGGGGTTGGACTAGATGACCCTCGCGGTCCCTTCCAACTCTACAATTCTATGACACATGCAGGATATAGTGAAGATATGTCATATCTTCTTCACCAACAAGGAGCAGAGCCAATTTTCTTCTCTCAGGAGAAAATGATACTTCTTTTGTGCATGGTGGTGGGGAACAGATGCTGTATGATATGAGAATATCATATGATGGATGAATTTTGTAACAGGCAAATAAGTGCCTAAGGTGTATGACTTGGACAATACAGAAAATGCTGCCTCTTTTTGTTGTTGTTGATTTGTAAGCTTTTAGTGAAAAGAGCTATACCATTGCTTGTGATTTCAATTAGTTCCAGAATTTTTTCATGTTGTCTAATCTATGACCATTGGACCATAATATTCCTTGACGCTGGGTAACTTTTCCTCCTATCCTGCAATGTTTAAAATTGGTGATTCACTGAATTTCAAAATAGGTTATTCAATGCCAACATTAATTCCAATAGTTCCAAATTAATTTAAGCTGATAACATTTCAAAACATGTCATCCGCTTAAATTAATTTGGAATTATTAATGAAGATTCATTTGCAGATTTTCACCATGCATTTAAAGTATTTGAGTTTCCCCCCAAAGAATCTTGAAAATTGTAGCTTCTCCTTCACAGAGCTACAATTCCCAGTGCTCTTAACAAACTACAGTTCCCAGGATCCTTTGGGGGAAGCCAGGTCTTTATATGTGCATTGATTGTAGTAGCATTGGATTCATGTGATGATGATGATGATGATAATAATAATAATAAATTTTATTTATACCCTGTCCTCCACGGCCAGGACCGGGCTCAGGGTAGCTAACACCAAATATATGATACTGTACATTAAAAACGCAATCAAACAATTAATTAAAATACATCTTAAAATTAAAATCAGGATGCAATTAAATGGCAGCCCACTAATGGCAAGATAATCTTATCTAAAATACGGACTAGTCTTCAGATTTGATTCCAACTTGTATAAGAGACAGTGAAACTGAAAAGGGCATAATTGGTAATATTGTAAGGATCTGCTTTTTAAAAGAATCCTTGAGCTGGAAGGAAGCAGAACATAAAGAATCCTGGGGCTTAAATGTTTTCTGGAGATGCTTATATGGGTTTGAATGAGAATATACATATTCAAAACAAGCTTTTGTGCTGGGCGAACCTGCGCTTAAACTTCTTATCCTCGATTGCTCTTTCCAAGATTATTTTATGGCCATTTTAGCTCTGGGCTCAAACGGGGCAAGGGAATTCATAAATATTGGTCAATAATTTAAGATATGACGAGCATTTGCAAATAACAGGCAGATTATAGGATCGCCAACTCTTTATGTTAAAGGCGAGTTCACACCCATAGCTGCAAAACATGGTCGTGAGAGCATGTGTCCGGCAACGGGGGGAAACGATACACCCTAATGATCCCCAGGAGGGGCAGGTGAAACATACACCTGTCCAACATCTTCCCTATTTAAAAGCAAAGGAGGCAGAGATGCTGAGATGGCTCTTGTACCTTGGCTGGGTGCATGGCAAGCGCGTGGGTGAGTTGGCAATCGGCGCTTTCCCCCCTTTATCCTTTAGCGCTGATGGATAAGAAATTGCGGACGGCGGCAAATCTCGCCGGGCGCTGTCGGTGCAGAAGGGCGTCGGTGCCGCCCCTGCCGCGCCTCTATAAAAGCAAAGTGCAGAGTCACCAGCAGCGGCAGGGCGCGCAAAGCACTTGTTGCCAGGCGGCGGAGAGGGCGATTAGCGCCGCGCCTTCGCCTCTCTGCCCGCCGGTCCAAAGGCGCAGCCAGCCCGACGGAGGGGGCGACGGCGAAGCAGCAAGCCAGCCCGGAGGCTCGCTCGGGGGCTGGAGCCCAGGAAGCCCCTCGAGGGCTTCAAGAGTAGGGGCGCCTTCCTCTCCAAGCGCGCGCCCCTCTCCAAGCGCGCCGCCTCCCGCTTCGCCATGGGGCGCTACACGGGCCAGACGTGCCGCCTGATCTTCATGCTGGTGCTGACGGCGGGCTTCTTCGTGGCCGAGATGGTGTCGGGCTACGTGGGCAACTCCATCGCGCTGGTGTCCGACTCCTTCAACATGCTCTCCGACCTGATCGCGCTCTGCGTGGGCCTCTCCACCGGGCGCATCTCCCGCCGCCGCCGGCGCCGCAGCCCCGACGCCTCCTTCGGCTACGGCCGCGCCGAGGTGGTGGGCGCCCTCTGCAACGCCGTCTTCCTGGCCGCGCTCTCCTTCACCATCCTCGTGGAGGCCCTGCAGCGCCTGGCCAGCCCCCAGGCCATCCGCGACGCCGAGCTCATCCTCATCGTGGGCGCGCTCGGCCTCGCCGTCAACCTCGTGGGGCTCCTCGTCTTCCAGGACTGGGCCTCCTGCTGGCCCGCCTGCCTGAGACGCGGCCCGCCGGCGAAGGCCACGCCAGAGCCCAGCCTCGACGGAGACCCCGAGCCCGGCTCCGCCGCCGCCGCCCCCGAGGGCACCCTGCCAGCGGCCCTCGACCTGGAGACTGGCAGCGTGGACGGAGCAGGTGCCTCTCGGTTTCCTCCTCCATTGATCCCTCGCCTCCTTTCCTCTCTTCACCATTTTCGTTCTCCTCCTTTGCCCATTTCTGATGTTTTCCCCATATTCTCTTCTCTGGGGGGCAGATTTTCCCCATCAGTTTTCTTTGCATCAGTATAATTTGTTTCCCACCCACCTCATTTCCTTAACTTGTACATTTCCCCACACTTCTTACAATTGGAATTCTTCTATTTATATTATGATGAATAAATATATTTATCCAGCCCTATATGCTTTCTTCCCTCTTGTTTTTCACTGCCATCCCATCCCCCACTCTTGTATTGGTACTTTTTTGTTTTATTTATATTACTTTGATACCTCGCTTTTTCTCTGGGGAGTGGTACGCACTTCTCCTCGTCTCCATTTTGTCCTCACAGCAGCCCTGTGAGGTAGGTTAGGCTAAGAGATAGGGGACCAAGATCCTCCAGTGAGCCTTTTGGCCGAGTGGGCGTTTCAAAGCCCATCATTCCACCATTCCACCACACTGGCTCTCTTTCTTTTTAAATCCTCCCTCAGCTTTCCCTATTCTTACTTTTCTCTTTCCAACCTCTCTTTCCTCCACCTCCATCTAGTCTCCATCTAGTCTCTCGGTGATATGAACACAGGCCAAGTACAAAAAAAATAATGTGCAGATTTTACTGTAAAATGCCAGTTAAAAGTGGGTATAGTTAAATAACTTCTAATGTTATACTGACTTTTAGGTAGATTAGATGAGGCAGATTTTCCATGCCATCATCAGCTTTCTGGTTTGTTATTTTTCTCTCCACACTTTTCTCTTTCTCTTTTTTACACCTTCCCCCCTTCTTTTCTATTCCTTCCTGTTCCCTTCTTTCATGTTTATTTGCCCTCCTTTCATTTTTGGTGTCCTTCCCTAACAATATTTTCTCTCTGTGTTAGTTTCTTTTTCTTCAAATACTTTTTTTGGGAGGGGGATTTTGTTTTTGCACTTTGTCCTTTTGCTCATGAAATAATTTGTTTTTCTTTTACCGACAAAAAAAATATTGTGTGGGAGTTTGCAGAGCTTTTAAGCACAAATAAATAACCGCAATTTATATGTATTGGAGTTTGTTTACTTTCCGCGTTTCCATGAAATTATGCATCAGCTTCCAGTTATGATTGCACGTGTGTTGTCTGCATGCAGGCGCGGGAGGGTCGTTGCTAAAACGTCTGGTACCATTTAAGATTTAAGTTGGTTTTGAAAAGATTGGTGTTTTTTCTGTTTGTAGAACTTATACACAACACAGCGTTTCTTCTTTGAATGCAGGTGACACCATAAATACCCAGAATAAGCCTGAAGATGAGGTGATACAGAAAAAAGAGAAAAAATCCGAAGCTTTGAATATCAGAGGTAATACAGGATAGACAACTTACCCAATTTTGGGGGACCCTCTTTATTGGCGACCTGTTCTGGTTTATTCCCACCGTTTCTAAATACATTTATAGTACAAGATCAGTGGCGTAGGAAGGGGGCGGCGGAGGGGGCAATCTGCCCCAGGTGCCACTCTGGGAGGGGTGACAAGATGGCCCCTGCCTCCCCCCAGCTGTAGAGCGGCCGAGGGCGCCTGCAGTCTGTATGGGTGCCGCTCGCGTGGCGTCCATATGGGCTGCCGCTCTCGCAAGTGGTGGCCATACGGGTTGCATCTTGCACAGTGACCGTATGGGCTGCCGCACATGCACAGTCCGTACGGGATGCTGCTCGTGCGGCAGCCTGTACAGCCACCGCGCAAGAGAGCGGCAGCCCATATGGACTGCGCCTCCCCGGGTGCCAGAGAGGGTTCCTCCGCCACTGTACAAGATATCAATAAACCATTTTTAATCCACCAGGTTATTAAATTACTGACCAAATACAGATAGACTATAGCTGCTCAGATGCAGCCAGGTTGACTCCTGGAAGGCCAAGTTTAGAATCCTTTACACATGATGATGTCCATGTATCTGACGCATTAACAATATCAAATGATCCAGCTTTCGGCTTGTGGTCAAAGAGCTTAGGGACCGCCACATTTTATTTTTTACTTACACAGGCATAGGAGAACATAAGTGTGTGAAGATCATGTGCCCATGCGCTTTACTGCATGAATATAGTCTTAACCGTGTGTCCATAAGTGACTGTGGAGGCCATTGGGAAGCCACACTAGATGGTGGTTTCTCACTATGTGTACATGTGGCAAAATGGACTCATTGCAGTCTTCACACTTTGTCACTTGCATCGCTGAGCACCCATCTAAGTAAAAGTTCACTTATAATGTCCTCTATAGTTTGCTTTTCCATTCTTAAAGCTAATGCTTTGAATCTAATACCAGTACTCACATGAATGTAGTCATTCTGTGATGACATTAGGAATTATGGGTCTAGGTCACATGTGAAAGCGGAACCTGGATTTTAATATTGTCCTATTTATATAAAGTTAGGTTCGAAAGCAAGTTTTGATCGAGCTCTGGTTGACATCTCCTGCCTTTGAACAACCCAAAATCTGATCATCAAAGCAAATGTTTCTCCTGTCCTTTATCTCAGGTGTTCTTTTGCATGTGATGGGGGATGCTCTTGGCTCAGTTATCGTTGTAGTGGCTGCTTCCATATTCTATGCACTTCCTCTGGACGAGAAAACTCCATGCAACTGGGAGTGCTACATTGATCCAAGCCTGACCATAATTATGGTGATCATCATACTCTCGTCAGCCTTCCCGCTTATCAAGGAGACGGCAACAATCTTACTGCAGATGGTTCCCAAGAGTGTTAATATGCAGTTGCTGAGTAAGTTGCATTTTACTGCCGAAGCACTTAAAAAGCCAGTGTTATTCCTGGAATTACATTTCTGGATTATGCGCCCCACCACCAGCTCTACATTCTCAGGAGCTTTGAGAAACTGACTCACATGGTGGTGTCTTAGCAACATGACTCAAATCTTGGTGGATTAGTGAAAGCATGCATTTCGAGAACACAGTACTCATGCAAAATAGCAGGCGTTGAGCTGCTGTTCCCTGAAATCACTGCATACATCTATAGATGTAAGAAGGTAGAAGGATAACAGTTAAGTGCCCGAGACCATTGTTAGTTGGGCAGGATAAAAATAAATCTTTTGCCTTATGCACACACTCAGACCATGTGAAGGTTGGGGGGCTTTTTTGCTTTAGAACTTAAGCTTGTGCAGAAACTTTCCCAGTTTCCAAGACATTTTCCCCCCAGAGTTACAAAGTTAGGGTTTGTGTTTTTAATGTGAATTTTGTAGGCTTTGAGGGGCAGTATAGTTCTCTCGTCCCATGGGGATAACTTTCCAACCTCATGCAAGGCATAAATAATCCAATGCTGGGTTTCCTAAAATTATGCTGGTACCTAATCCATACAGATACTTGTCATTTAGCAGGGTCTACATTTGATTCAATCAGCTAATGTTTCCAGAACTTGTGCTTTTTCTCTATCGTGTGTGGTGCTGTGCTGATGCCCCTGCAGCCCAGGAAGACTCTAGGCATAGTTTAGCATGGCCCAGTTGTTCTGCTTCTTCCAGGAATGTTTTGGATCTGGCCATGAACCCTCCCGTAAAATGTATTTGTCCTGGAAGGTTCTCTCTGCTTTTGCAGTGTGCTGCTGAACAGTGTTTCTGATCAAATCACTGCTGCCAGTAGACCCTTCATGAAATCTCATTGAGTTTATTTTCTGCTTGTTTTCATTGTCTCCCCACTCCACCATACAGCAAACAAGCTGCTTGAAGTGCCCGGCATTACTAGCATTCATGAGGTGCACGTCTGGGAGATGGTCAGTGGGAAGAACATTGCCACCCTCCACGTCAAATGCCACACCAGTTCCGATTACCAAGACGCTTCGCAGAAGATGAGGGAGTTGTTCCATGAAGCAGGGGTCCACTCAGTCACCATCCAGCCAGAGTACACCGACCAGAAGAACCCTGAAGTCCTGTGCAGCACTCCGTGCATCTCCAGAGCTTGCGACCCGCAGCTGTGCTGCAGCCAGCAGGAAGCGGCCCTGGCTGAGGTCAACGGCTACAACGAGAAGAAGAGCAGCCTGTCTCCCTCTCTGCACAAAGTCTTCCACAGGAAAGACGTGGTGGAGATTCCCAAGGAACCCACGTGGGCCGAGGAGCCCATCAAAAAGCACAGCTGCTCAAAGGACAGTTACAAAGAAGCAGGCGATGACAAGCCCTATATAAACAGCACACAATTCTAGGCAGCTTGGGCTCGCGCTTGGCGACTGCTGTTCATCTAGGGCAAAGTTATCCTTGGCAATGCCCCCTTGGCTAAAAAGCTTGCCACAGGCCTGGGGAGTGGCATTTGACAGCTGGGTGTCCAATGCATAGCATAAGACGGCATCTAGAGCAGGTGTTCTTGGCTTGTATCTAAAGGTCTAGCTGTGCAGGTAGAAGGCCCTTCTATCCATGCAGCCACTGGTACCTTCAGCCCTGCAATGCTGAAATGAGGGACATCCCAGGAAACAGAAGTGCCTTTTAGCCATCCCTTGTCTTCAAGGAGTGTTTCTGGCATTTGCCAAATATGCCCAGTGCCATTTTGACACTTAATTCCTTTTCCTCCAGGGGTAAATACCTTACGGCTGAGCACACTGGTTTTTTAACTCTGCCTTTACCGAAATGTGGTGCTCGTTGCAGGTCTCTTAGTTCCCTTTGATTGGGCTGCCCCAGAGCACCATTATGAAGGAATGAGAGTAGGTGGTAGTTTCATTAGTCTTGTTTTCAAATGCCTCTTGTTTACTTGAAATTAGAAGTGGGATTTCTGGAAAAGTGGGGTGGAGGGCACCAAGTGGGGGAAAGGCTGGCCTAAGGGATTGTTAGGCAGGTTCACCTGAACGCTGGCAATGAACTATGGTTATAATTCACCAAAGTATTGCTGCTCTGTATTATCAGTTGAAAGCAGTGTTGAAACAAATGATTATCTCTCCTGCCTGTGTATTTTCCTGCCATTTCAGTGAATGAATGTATGGATTTTTGTAGCATGAGTTGAGACTGTTGTGTTTTAGTTTGTGTCCATCTGTAATATTGATTTGATTTTTTTGTATACAGGTTATATATTTATATTCCCCCCAATCATATCTTAAATAGCATAACTTCTTAACCGTACTCTGCATATTTCCAAAATAACAAACATATTTTGTTTGAGGGGTGATGGTCAGTGTCGTTCCTATTTCCAAAATGTCCGCCGCAAATAAACATGTAATATATCTTACTTGGAAATATAGATCATGTTCCTACTCATTTTTCCCCCTTTAAGAAATGGGCACCTCTTGCAAATGTGTCTGTGTGCAAGTGAGAGGTTTCACCAGCTTCAAATATCCATGTCAGTGAGTTAACACCAGGGAATATAGAAATCGTCAGGATACATGTTTGCCAAAGAATGTCTGTGGCAGCTTGATACAATCCTTCCAAGACAACTCTCAGGAGAAGCAAGGGTTTTGACTATTAAACTGCTCTAACTTTTGCAGATCAGGAAGAGTCGTCGAGATTCCCCCCTTGCCAAAAAAATCAAATTTGTTGTTCCTTCCTATAGTTTCTATAAACATGCAATTGCATGTGCTGCTTTGCTCCTAGAGCGGCTCCTAGCACTTAACCTGTTGTTGTTTTCACCCATGGGTTTTTGTTCTGCAAAACCATTATCCAAGTCTTATTTTTCAAAACACGATATACTGGTCAGCCCTGGGCCTGTCCTCAGGTTCAGTTCCTGGCATCTCCAAGTAGGACTTGGGAAAGGTTCTTGTCTCTAACCTTAGAGAGCCTTACCAGCCAATACTGAGGTGGATAGACCAATGGTCTGTTTGGAATAAGGCAGTTTCCTGTGTTCCACTTCCTACTCATCGTCTCAAAATTTTCTTCAGCTTTGAAAGAAGTGGGTGGATTGTCCATCCTCATTTATAGATTGTTTTGATCCATGACCTCTTATTTTTTGCTTTAAGCACATTCCTGCCTATGTAAGGATTTCATTCTGACATGATGGAAGCCACAGGGTCATTGCTATACACTTACAAATGTGTGGTATAAATTATAATAGAACATTGTCCCCCCCCCCAGGGGGGATTCTAAGTGAACTGGCCAGCTTCCTGGTATGATAAAAAATCGCAATAAAGCCCTCTAAACTCTAAATTTTGCCACATCCTGAAATTTTCACACACATATCGGGTAGCACATTTCAGTAAGATTTAGTTCTCTTTGCGGGCTTTGGTATGGCCATGATACCTTATGATTATGATGAGGTGACTGAGTCCTTGATTCTTAATGTTGAGATGCATGGATTGAAAGCTGCATGAATCTTAACCAAAGTATTCTAAAGATTTCTATAGTTTGTGCCAAATATGGCCTCAATCCAAGCACTTCATTCGGGGATGGTTGCTGACATTTAAAAAATCATATTCACAGGTAATGAACTGCCAAAAAAAGTGGTTGTGTATCATCTTTTGAATGTGCTCTCTTCACTATATGAAGGTTTATGTTATAACTTCTTGTGAAGTTACCTCCTGCCTGTATAATATATGGACTCTCTGGAATATAATTCTGTTTGGAACAATAATGTTTTACCTGACACAGCTAATTCTGCATCTAATTAAAAACCTTGGCTTGTATATATGCTTTTGTGAACAAAACACTGGTGCAAACTTTCTCCACATGCCTTGTGAATTTTATATGTTGAAGAAGAAAAAGTTGGATGCTGTAAATAAAGTGTTTTTTTAAGTAAACACCTTGTGTCTACGAAAAATAAAATCTTTCAAGGCCTTATTCTCGCTAGATATTTTGTGCTTGGGTACGTATATGGAAGTACAAATACAATGTCAGGTAAAATTTAGTGTCTGTGCCAAAGGGATTCTGCCCTTACCTAGTATTTTAAGGGAATATGCCCCAATCTTCACATGTATCAACATTATAAGAGGCATGCATATTTTGGACTATTTGGCAAATGGTGTCTCAGCGCTGTCGTAAGTTTGGAAGGGCGAGGTAACAATTGCCTGGTGTTTGAAGCTGAGTACAGCCACAGTTCATGCACACCCTGTGATCTCCTGAGAAATGCTGCTGTTTGATGCATTTCCCCTCAAACATGTTTTTAACCAATTTGAAAATTTAAGCAAAAACCGCTTGCCATGGCATTGGGAATGTGGTGTGTGGAGGATATGGGGCTTAGCTGGGTTGGAATGGGCTTGGAGCATTACTAGTTCTAATTGGTTTTATAGAATCACAGAACCACAAAGTTCAAATTGACTTTGGGAGATAACATATGCAACAGACAGCTGTTTCTTTTACAAAGGACCTCCCTACTCCCAAACCACAAGCCATGTGCTCTTCAAAAATTGTATACCAGATTCTTGTTTTCAATGTTTCTTACTCTTCCAGATGGAGGGTGTAACACTGCTAGTTCCTGCTCTCATCTCATAGCCCAATGCCTCATCCGTTATCTTGCATTTCCAGTCTGCACTGTGCAGGCTTGTCCAAACCCTTTTTTATTTTCCTAGTTGGGCCCAGTCTCGTTATCATCCAGCTAAGACTGAAGCTTTAGTGTGGGCTCTTCCTTGTGCAACCTTTTGTGGTATACAAAAGCACAATAGTCAGAATCAGGTGGAATGCACACCAGTCAACCCCAGTTTTGAGTGAGAAGATATGAAGAAGACTTCATTGGTGCCTTCAGCTGATAAGGCCCTGGGAGCACCAGGAACTCTTGTGTTATTGTCAGGGACTGGGCAGAGGAGGAATGGTGGAGACCGCCTCCCCATCCTGACCCTTCCAGGGAGAAGGAAGAGGAAGACAGTACAGTGCTACCTCTGGATGCAAACGGGATCCGTTCCGGAGCCCCATTTGCACCCTGAAGCGAACGTAAGACGCGACTGTGCATCTGGGCGTGTGCGGATCATCATTTTGATTGTCTGCCTGAGTGGCGAAACCCAGAAGCAACGTGCTCCCTTACTTTTGGGTTGCCACGGAGCGCAACCCGAAAATAAGCTGAAGCGTATTCATCCTGAGGTATGACTGTATAGATTTACAACAGGGGTTTGAGGGAGGTAGCAGCTCAGAAGCAGATGAGGGGAGAAGTTGGGAAATCATGGGAGAGCCAGAGCATGACACACTGTTATTAGAAAGCATTCCAGACCCTCCATCTCCCAGAACCCGGTGGGTCTTAAAAGTAGGAGAGCAAAGAGCTCAAAGACAGAGGGCACTTAGCACTTGTAGAGGAGGTGCTAATGATGATGATGAATGAGGAAGTGGGAGAGATGGGGGGTGGGGTGGAGATTCACTCGGGACAACACCATTATCCAAGAGTCTGGGTTCTATAGCCTCTCTCTGTAAGGTTTGAAATAAAAAAGGAGTGTAATAAACTTTTCCTTGTCTTTATACTTGTTGGGAATCTGAATACGTGCAGCTACTCACACAAAGTCAATTAGGGTTTGGCAGACAGCCAAGGCAATGTGAAGGAGTAATCTGCCTGGTGATACAGAGGCATGGAGACAGCTCCATGATTGGTCAAGCTCTCTCAAGGGAGTGATAATTAATGGCCTACTAACTGGAATGTGTTAGTTCAGTGGTTCAGTGTGTCAGTGTAGGAGTTGTGAGTCGTGTATGAGAGAGCTAGCTAAAGATCCGTGTTCTGTTTTGTTCCTGTAAATAGTCCACTGTATATAATAAACACCTAACTACAAGTTCGTGGTTCCTGCTTTGTCCATCCTGTCTGTAGCCAAGTTGCCAATTGTTTTCGTGAACTCTGCGTTTATTCCGCTAGGTCTGGCTAAGGTCCTGCAACTAGTCAGAAAGTTGCGAAACACCAACAGGTTATGCCAATAATACTTTCCTGGGCAACCAGCTGGGAGCCGTTGACAGCATCCTGACAGTTATCAGGATTCTGATTGTGATGAACTTTCTATGCATGGCCCGGTTGGGGCAGGAACAGGTGGGTCCAGCGGGCTCTTGGGGTGGGGCAGAGCTAGCATGCAGGCCCCCACAATCTCTACTTGCATTACTGTAACCTGTTCAAGTATAATGCCTAAACAGGGCTTGATTTGCACACAGAACCACCATTCTTGGACCCCTTTCTTCCAGTTATTGTGGCAAGCAGAAGCCTAAAGGACTCCCAGGTGCAGTTTCCTGTTTTTCCTGAACTAGTTTTGAAACTCATTTGCACGCAATGCAACTGTCACCATCTTTACCAGGGCCGACTCAAGACTTTTTGTGGCCTGAGGCAAACAACCAGATTGCACTCCCTCAGTCTACATACAGTTGGGACTCTTATCTCAAACATGGCAAGGGGACAGCATCCTTCACCCACACCTTTAGGCAACAAGTAGTTGACTCAGGAGGTGCAGAATAGGCTAGCTTAGGGAGGACAGGAGGGCAGTTGTGAGACTGGTGTTGCCCACCAGCATCTGCCACCAGAGGCAGACACATCACTCTGCCTAATGGTAGGGCCAGTCCTGTTCTTTTCCTCAAATTATGCAAACTTTCCTGACCTCTCCTTTCCCCCACTCACTGTTCAGGTGGACCTGCTTTGTATCTGTTATATAATCATAATCTAGCCAGTGTGGTGTAGTGGTTAAGAGCGGTAGACTCGTAATCTGGTGAACCGGGTTTGCTTCCCCGCTCCTCCACATGCAGCTGCTGGGTGACCTTGGGCCAGTCACACTTCTTTGAAGTCTCTCAGCCTCACTCACCTCACAGAGTGTTTGTTGTGGGGGAGGAAGGGAAAGGAGAATGTTAGCCACTTTGAGACTCCTTAAAGGGAGTGAAAGGCGGGATATCAAATCCAAACTACTACTACTACTACTACTACTACTACTACTACTCTTCTTCTTCTTCTTCTTCTTCTTCTTCTTCTTCTTCTTCTTCTTCTTCTTCTTCTTCTTCTTCTCCTCCTCCTCCTCCTCCCCCCACCCTCTCCTCTCTCTTTCTTCCCCCCTACCTCTCACACACATGATGGACAAATCTGTCAATTTCATTTTCTCTCAGTTTCTCATTTTCCAATCTTTTTTCAGCTTTTTTCAGCTTTTTCAGCTTTTCACACATTTGCATTTTTAAAAAAGTCCTTGTGAAAATTCATTTTAGTGTGAATGTATTCTTATGCCCATTTGTATGCAATTCTGCCCCTTTTCGCAAAACCATTTCCTTAATATCATGCATCCCCCCCCCCGATATGTGCATTTAAACACATACGTTTCCCAAGTATATAAATTTTTGGTCACATTAATTGGCTAAAGAACTGCACTGCCACTGCAAAATTCAGAGAAATGCAAATTATGAAGAAAGGCTGTGCGTTGCTTCATGTATTCTATCAGAAAATGTGAATTAGTTATTTAAATGAGATCTGAATAACCCCCCCCCCCAATTCCTCTCACCATTTTATCCCATTCTTTTTGTTTTTATTACGGAGTCATATAGCAGCACCACTTTTAAATTATGGTACATGCCTATCAATACACCTGCGATCAGTTCATAAATCTGGTTGGGCCACATAATGTACTCTCTTGGTTTCAGAACCAGTTTGCTGAGCATCCTAAGGCTGTGATATATCTCACTGCTGGTGATGGCAAGAGTGACAGAAAGCAAGTTGTCCTGGATTGTGTATTGTGCGGGATCCAGACTTGGTCACGCTTAGAGTAGACCCATTGAAACCAATTTAGTCACGGGATAACTCAAGTGCCATTGATTTCAATGGGTTTACACTGGATCCAACCCTCTGTGTTTAAAAAGAGAAAAGAAACACACTTGTAGGCAAATTCTTAAGAAAAGGCTGATGTTTGCAATTTGTAGAAACGAAGGATAGGCAGAAAGGTAGACCAATGGCCCACAGACCAATTTCTCATAGCCTGCCTTGTTGCTGGGATTGTTGCCAAGGATGCTAGCTAGGGATGATGGGAGTTGTAGTCCAAAAACAGCTGGAGACCCAAGTTTGGGAAACCATGGGTTAGAGGAAGGGTGGTAACAGGACAGAGGTATATAAAACCATGCATGGTGTAGAGAAAGTGGATAGGGAAGAGTCTCTGCCCCTTCTTTCATAACTCTATAACTTGGGGGACATGCAATGAAGCTGAATGTGGGAAGATTCGGGGCAGACTAAATAAAGTGCTTCATCCCACAATTAAACTATGAAATATGGTCCTACATGATGCAGCGATGGCCACCAGTTTGGATGACTTTAAAAGAGGATTGGAGGAGAGGGCAATCAATGTCTACTAGCAGTTGTCAGAGTCAGTAAGCCTCTTGAGACTGTTGCTGGAAGCTGCAGGAGGTGATCAGTTCCTGTATGCAGGCATCCCATAGTCATCTGACTGGCCACTGTGAGAACAGGATGCTGGACTAGATGGACCACTGGCCTGAAGCAGCTGGATTTTTCTTATGCTCTTAGATCTAAAGATCTAAAGACCTACGGGACCGCCTCTCCCGGTATGCCCCATGGAGAGCTTCAAGGTCCATAAATAGCAACACCCTAGTAGTCCCGGGCCCTAAGGAAATTAGATTAGCTTCAACCAGAGCCAGGGCCTTTTCAACACTGGCTCCGGCCTGGTGGAATGCTCTGCCTCATGAGACCAGGGCCCTGTAGGATCTGATTTCTTTCCGCAGGGCCTGTAAGACAGAGTTGTTCCACCTGGCCTTTGGCTTGGAGCCAATTTGATTCCCTCCCCCTCTTCTTTTCTTTTTCCTTTCTCCTCCTGTGATGAGGCTGCATTTAATATTTTAATGTTTCAATATTTTAATGTTGTATTTTAATCTTGTTTTTAAGTTGTATTCATTCAACTCATTTT